AACACTTCCGTTCAGATAACCATTACTACGTCGTTTGAGGTTCACATCAAGGAAATGGAAGGTACCTCCTGATTCCACTTATGATGTAAAAGTAATAGCTACATGCGCCTCATTGAATTTTCTAAATGACTAATGCCATTGTCGAACACCTCTCCAATACGGGACATACTGTGAATGAAAACGCCTCCAAGGTGATCTACCGGGTTCCTCCCGGCTGTTCGCCAACAACATCTAGCAACAGTCGAGGCAGTAGCCATCCGTCTTTTTAACTCATCGCTCTGTTCCCAAAAGCGATTCGCTAAAGCACTTCAACTGCCGTGGCCTCGGAGTGAATTCGGTTGCATGACTGGAGCTGACTCTTTCCATGACCCGTTGACCCTTGCGATTGACTCCGTACCCGAAACCGGTGATGGTTAACCCTGACTCGATCCTAATCCCTCGTGTGACACGTTCCTTTCCCATCCACCCACCACTCCATTTTTGTTTGTAAACCGCACATAAACAACAAATTATATCTACCAATCCAATTCACACGCACACACACACACACAGGTCAAACGTTATGCAAATGTGATATGCCTTGTACCTATTTATATAACTGTATTAGCCAGATGAGGAAGTTACCGAAAATGAGCTTGTTCGCTATTTCGTGTTTTGTTCTCAAATAAAAAGAACTTGTAGTCACTCTAATCGGACTCCAAAGCGGAAAAAGCTCATGCGCACAAGCTATTTTACATCAATAATGAGTGACACGTCCAGGAATATCCCAGGTTATTTACAAACTGGCATTTTAGTAAACTTTATTAGAGGTATGTTAAACCTCAACCGACGGCTTCAAAAGATATTCAAGCGATTAGCGCGCAGTCGGAATCATTAAATCGGATTAATGGTAACAAAGGTATTCGTACAATGCTAACATTTTTTGTAGATGGATGTCTCAATACTGTGTTGACTTCGGATAAGACCAAAATTGTGAACCGTTAGTATAAACATATGTGCACGAAGCCCGATTACCACCAAAAGGTAACAGACAAAACCAGAAGCAGAGTAATATTTAGCTATTGGTTGATGAACTACTGCTCCTGTGCCGTTCGATGGAAAAAGTGCATCGAGAAAGGGTGCTCGGCTTAACTAAACTTTCAGCATATTATCACAGTGCCGTGTTATTGAGAAACAGAAATTCAGTCTATAATGTACTGCAATAGGGACCACTTTCCTGACATATTTTAATCTCTTTTTCGTCCCGAAACACAAAATAATGTTACTCACGCAGCTTATTATCTGGATTACATCACAGTTTACCACTTTGTTCATTTAGATTCTGTTTCTTTTGGAAATTATTTTTCGTGGACAGAATCAATAAAAGCTGTACCACGTGTTTTTTAAGATTTCCTCGGTTGGTAACCAGAGCACACCCTTCCTCCAAACCATTCGGCTTTATTAGCAAAGGATGCGGAATATTTTAATAATGAGTTATGCTCATAATCCAAAACAATTAAATACCCCGAATAGCTAAATAGTTTATTCTGTGACATGTCATTTTGCTTTGCAAATTAACTTTCCATAATCGAAAGCAATTGTTTGAACAAAAATAACCAGTTTATTGTTACTGGACAATCTCTTAGATTAGCAGTTTATCGATTATTTAACGTGGACTTAGTTTTGCTGCATTTATGTGATTCCGGGGGCTTTGGTCAGCTTGATGCATGCAAGGTCACCTGAGTATCTGATCGATGGTT